CAATCCAAGCGCGTGTACAACCGCCGTATAACTAAGTGATGTCACCCACGAGTCAACCTCACTTAGTTACACAAGGCGTTCGAGAAAACAATCCATCCATACTCAGTAGTAAACATACATAACAACATCACATTTAAACCAATGAATAGCGGAAATATTCAACGGTAAGTCATGAGCCACAACCGGCCAACAACATGGGCATGCAAGCCCCAAAAATAGTTTATAGTAAAACAAATATCCACGAGCAAGTGTTTGGTAGTTTGAAAGAAAATAAGGAAGCACGAACCACGTCTTCCCGATATGATATCACCCGTGAGAAGGTGCAAGTAGCAAGCCCTAGCTTCAACCTGAAAATGGTGGGGCCCCCCGAAGGGGTCAGTACAAGTACCGAGCGAGTAGCAGGCTAAATATAGAATAACTAGCGTTTCAAGTATAAGACCCAAACATAGGGTGATACTTAAATAGGTAGTCTTTCCCCCAAGTTATGAAATACTTATTAGTATATATATACTTGGAAAATATCCGATCCGTAGATCACCATTTTTATTTGGGAAAAATAGTATTAGTCAATATTCTTGACTAAAAACCCCAACCCACCCATATACCTATGAGTGTATAGGACTCCTCCTTGTCCCTATTTGTATATCATAATTTATGAGTTTTAGGATCAAAATCCTCGGATACTCCACCGGTTTGTGAGTGTTAAGGCCTCATAAGTCCTAGGGTCCTCCACCGAGTTTTGAGTGTTAAGTACTTTAAGTACTAGGGTCCTCCACCAAGTTTGAGTGTTAAGTACTTTTTAGGTACTAGGGTCCTCCACCAAGTTTTGAGTGTTAAGTACTTTTTAAGTACTAGGGTCCTCCACCAAGTTTTGAGTGTTAAGTACTTTTTAAGTACTAGGGTCCTCCACCAAGTTTGAGTGTTAAGTACTTTTTAAGTACTAGGGTCCTCCACCAAGTTTTGAGTGTTAAGTACTTTTTAAGTACTAGGGTCCTCCACCAAGTTTTGAGTGTTAAGTACTTTTTAAGTACTAGGGTCCTCCACCAAGTTTTGAGTGTTAAGTACTTTTTAAGTACTAGGGTCCTCCACCAAGTTTTGAGTGTTAAGTACTTTTAAGTACTAGGGTCCTCCACCAAGTTTGAGTGTTAAGTACTTTTTAAGTACTAGGGTCCTCCACCAAGTTTTGAGTGTTAAGTACTTTTTAAGTACTAGGGTCCTCCACCAAGTTTTGAGTGTTAAGTACTTTTAAGTACTAGGGTCCTCCACCAAGTTTTCCTATTATCAACCTCCTATCAACCTAGATAGAGTCTATATCATACTTAGTTACTCATAACTAATCCAATGCATAAATTCTTATGTATCACAATCCATGCAAAACCACGCATTTATATAGATTTATATTTAATTAATACCAACCGGTATTAATTAAATCCTTTGTTCTTCGGTCCACGTTTTCGTTGACCGCCATTTCATGCCTTGTGTGTATCAACTTAATCATCATATAATTAAGTTAATAATATTCATTTGTGCTTCTAATACACTTCAAGCAAATATGCATTTCATATAATTCTTCATATCATATTCCATGCATCAACAATTAATTTCTTTCATACAAACTTAACCCTATTGGCTAATCACATGTTTAAATATCTTTTAAACATTATTATGAACTCATATAACATTTATTTAGGTAATCTCATAATTAACCCAAAAGTTATAAGATATTAAGCCGTCCACTCACCTTGAACTAGCGTTATGAAGTTCTACCCTTCTTGGTTGAACTCCGGTGAAACTCCGGCGACTTTCGGTCAACTCCGGCGACAACTCCGGCGACCTTTCCAACTTTGTGAAATCACTTGAAATACCCTTTACAAGTGCCTAACAAGGTTTTAACATCATAAAACCTTAATCAATACAAATAACCTATAAAAGGTTATTTTCCGGTGAACCGGTCGTTTTGGCTTTTAAGTCCGTTCTCGGACATAGACTCACTTTCCAATCCATTAATCCATACTTATAACATGTAGAACCCTCTTAAGGATTCTTCACATGATATGTATCTCATAAGGTAGAAGAAAAAAATAGAGAAGAAGTTATAATAAGGTCATTACCTTAATCTTTTCACACTTTTAGCACCCTAGCCCCTTTTCTTGGGATTCCTTCTTGTTGAGCTCTCTTCAACAATGGAGAATGAAGGATGATGGATTTCTTGCTCTTGCTGGGTGCCTCTTGGCCGAGAATGAGGTAGAGGGAGGGGTGAGGGTAACCCTTTGTCTCATTAAACAAATAAGTGTGGATGGGATCCACCTTATTTTGTTTGATGCTCTTTCCTTCACTTCACACACCACTCACATGCTATTCTCACACATCCAGCCGGCCAAGCTATCAATTTGGGTGACCAAAGTCGTGGGTTGGCCCCCACCCAAGTGGGAGGTCAACCCTTTTTGTCCCGAAGTGCACAATTTGTCCCGAAAGTTGTATTTTTCGGACTGTTTTAAATATATTTTATTTTATCGGGTCAAATAAAATATATTATGTGCTCTTACTCATTATGACATGTATAATGAATATACATTCCCCAACTTTAATTTATAAGCCTCCGAAATTCATTTCCGGGCTGTTATCTGTTAAATTACCAGTACCGGTAATTTGGGCTGCTTTTGGCCAACCGGTCTACTCTGGGCTTTTCCATAGCCCCGATGAAATATCCACCACTATATATTTATTATCTAGACCAAGATGAATAAATGTATGGTCTCGGGAATGTCGGGCGGCCCCCGCTCCCGGTGTGGGTCCCACGTGCAATTTATTATTCGTGCGAAAGAAATAACAAAAATTTACAACTTCGTAAATTCATTAATTCTTTAATAAGGTTCAATACATTATTTACATAAAAGTAAATATATTTGGGGACGGTGTTACATTATGAATCATTTGAAGCAAGTCAGATTTGGAGTTTGTTTTCAATCATTCGAAGCAAGTCATATATTGAGCTTGTTATGCATCCATTGTGTTTGATTAAATACTTTAGAGGTTTATATAGCACATTCATTTAATTTGTGATTGAAGGGAAATAAAATAAAATATCCCCAGCTTTCGGGAAGTGTATTTAACAACATGGTTGGTATTATAGCTGCTGAATATTTTAACCTGAAAAGTATCTATTTTTTAACCAAAGTATTATAGCCCATTTTATCCGCCATTGCTATCTTGTTCCTCTTATCTTGGTTCGCACAATAATATGAACAGCTTAACCTCGGCAAAGCTATAACAGGTTTATATAGGCCATTCATTCAAGCATGAGATGCTTAAAATCACAACTTTAGAATAAATGAACACTTCATGATATGTATCACCCTATCACTTTACAAGCTGCCAAGCTTTAATAGTCTTTTATGTTTACCAAAAAAAGTGATTGAGTTTCTTCTAATATCCACTACTGTATATTATCATTTAATCTAATATTCAGTTCTTATAAGAATCAATGGAGCTTATGTTCTCCAGCACCATACTAAGTCAACTAATATATAAGTCCATTGTAGTTATAGTGGCTCAAATTTTGGAGAACTGCCTCTTGCTAAGTTCAGTCTGATTTCCATAGCATATGGTTCATCTAAGAAACTTAATGAAACCTCAAATTGAAAAGGGAAAAATAAGGGAAAAATGACTCTGGGAAATAACAATTTCATTGAAAAAAAGTATTTCCTTTCCCATTCTTTTTTAGATGAGTAATCATTTAGTTCTTGTAAGAATCAATGAAGCTTATGTTCTCTATCGCCATAACTAAGTGAACTGATATTAAAGTCAATTGTAGTTATAGTGGTTTCAATTTTTTTTATATATACCAGGTTTATATAGGCCATTCATTTAATTGGCTAGGCTGAGTAGTAAGTCTTAAGATTTCATCTCATTTTTGGAGATTAGAGAATGAGCAAAGTAGAGGTCTATATGCCTTTTTCACAAGTCATGTTTTCCTTTTATTTTTCAGTTTTATTTTTCCTTTTATTGATTTTTTGTCCCATTGTGCCATGGTTATATATATATATCACTGTTAATATATTAGGCATTATTGAATTGACATAAATTTGGCGGAGCTCCCAGTTTTTTTATGCCACAACTGCAAGGATAGTTCACATGGTAGCCATTTTTGCAACCGGGGCGAACGTTTCATGACAATCACCAAATTCAATGTGTCAATTGCTACAAAATACAAGACGTGCTTTAAAACATTTAATGGAACCATCACTTTGATATTTAATTTTATAGACCCATTTAGAATGAATGAGGCGTTTATGAACGAGGTCAACAAGGTCCAAGTTCCATTACATTCAAGAGCGGCAATTTCAGCTTGCATTGCGTCCCACCACCATGAAACTTGAACCACGTCCCGATATAAGAGGGGTTCTTTATTTACTTTGAGATTTGGCGGCAAGAAAAGCTCGGCCCGGAATAGAAAATTCGTTATAATCAACACAACAAGCAAGACAATAAGGACTACGACCTGAAGTTGTTGGAGGAGCGGCGAGTGGGCGGGTCTACGCGAGCTGCATCGAGTCAAAAAATCTTGGAATCGAGTTGATGGCATTTTCTTTCTCTGTCATCGACCAAGCGGCCCCGACATAATTTGAGTGCTAATGGGATTCTTCAGTGGCAGTAGTACTCAAGGGGGTCCCTTGTAACTGTCACAAGACCTGAAACTCCACTCGTGCCTAAATTATCTTCCAAAGTAAATTTGACACGGGATCAAGATAGTGAGTATTGTGTGGATGAGAGTTGTGTAGATGAGAGAGAAATGTGTTATTGTTAGACATATTAATTTGCTAGTATGACACTTTTTATTATATTATTGTTGTACGATATTATCTAAGTAGTTTAGTTGCTTTACGTATCTTGTATTTCGCATTACAATTAATTGTATAAACCGATCGATAGTTATCGGATACGAAGTGTACATAGACTATTTATAGTCGATCAATACATCACTGATGTTCACGGTGAATATTACATCTTCCAACTTGGTATCAGCCATTTTTTTTCCTTTCTTCGATCCTCTCCCATGGCTTCCAAAAGCTCTTTTCATCCCGCTCTTGCGGTTACCTCTATCAAAAACTTAATTCCCCTCATCCTTGACACCGAAAAAGTCCAATATTCTTCTTGGGCGGAACTCTTTAAGATTACAGCCCGTGCTTACGATGTTTTGGATCACATCATCCCTCCGAAGAAAATACCCACCACCACTTCCGCCGGCAAGGATGATGACACCGACGATGACTCCGACGGTGCCACCGACTCCATCGACCCTCTTCTCTGGGATCGCTTGGACGCCGTTGTCCTCCAATGGATATACGGCACCATCTCCCCCGATCTCTTACTTAACATTCTTGAACCGGACTCTACGGCCATGGAAGCATGGACCCGATTGGCCAACATCTTTCAGGATAATAAGCACGCTCGCGCAGTGCATCTTGAGGACAAATTCTCTCACGTTCGTTTGGCCAATTTTGCCTCTATTTCAGCATACTGCCAGCAGCTCCGCACCATTGCCACCAATCTTGCCAACGTCGGTGCTCCGGTTGAACATAATCGGCTGATTTTGCGACTGGTCAACGGCCTCACCGCACCATTTGCAACGGTTGCTTCCATGATCCAGCAAACGGTCCCTCTTCCATCGTTCGAAAATGCCCGATCCATGCTTCTCCTAGAAGAAGGCCGACAAGCACATAGCATTGAGCACGAGCCACCCTCAGCTTCGGCCCTTGCTGCCACCGTCCCACAATCTGCTCCTACACCTTCTCCTGCTCCCCGTCCGCGCGGAGGAGGCCGAAGCAATTCTGGACGCGGCAAAGGTCGCGGAAGGCAGTCTGGTTTCCGGCCGCATGATCAGTCCGCATGGCCGCCACATCCAGGATCTCCATGGGCCATCCCTCCTTGGGCTGCTTGGATGCAACAGTTCTGGCCCACACCCCCATGTCCATACCCTACTGTCCCTGCCCAAAATACTCTGCCCTGGTCTTCTTCTGCCGGTCTATTGGGTCCAAGGCCACATGCACTTACTGCCGGGTATGGCTACCCATTTCCTGCAGGTCCCACACCACCTTTTATGCCAACGGATCTTCAGACCTCTATGAATACCATGTCTCTCAACCCCCCAGATGACAATTGGTACATGGACACCGGGGCAACTTCTCACATGACCTCGGACGCAGGTACTCTTTCGTCTTTTATTAATACGGGTCCTAAAGGTAGTATCATAGTCGGTAATGGTTCATCCATTCCGGTGACGGGTCACGGTCACACCTATTTACCTTCTTCATTTTCCCCACTTGAATTACGTCATGTTTTGCATGCCCCTCATATTGTTAAAAATTTAATTTCTGTACGAAAATTCACTAACGATAACCAAGTGTCCATTGAATTTGACCCTTTTGGTTTTTCTGTGAAGGATCTTCGTACAGGAACCCCACTCCTCAGGTGTAACAGTCAGGGAGATTTGTACCCGGTGTGTCAGCCTCCCAGTCATGCTTCTTCATCCCATCATAATTTCGCCGGCCTTTCCTCCACCATATGGCATCACCGGCTTGGTCATCCCGGAGCTCCTATTTTTCGTAGTCTTAGCCAAAATAATTTCATTGATTGTAATAAAGCATATGATGCTATTTGTCCCTCTTGTCAAATGGGGAAACATAATAAATTGTCATTTTCCCCATCTTATTCCTATACACATGCTCCTTTTGATATTGTACACAGTGATTTGTGGACTTCACCTATTTTAAGTTCCACTGGTCACTGGTATTATATTTTATTTCTTGATGACTTTACCAACTTTCTTTGGATTTACCCCCTTTCTCAAAAGTCTGATGCATTCTCCAAATTCGAACATTTTAATAAATTTGTCCAGAATCAATTTGGCTTATCTATTAAAACGTTACAGTGTGATAATGGTCGTGAATATAATAACTCGTTATTTCACACTTATTGCTCTAATTATGGCATTTCGTTTCGCTTCTCCTGCCCCTACACCTCCCCACAAAATGGCAAAGCCGAAAGGAAAATCCGTTCTATTAATAATATCACCCGCACACTTCTCCTTCATGCATCAGTTCCACCCACTTTATGGCCTCATGCAGTACTTATGGCCACTTATTTACATAACATTCTTCCCTCCAAGTCCCTCTCCTATACATCACCCACACTCGCCTTATATCACAAACAACCATCTTACTCTCACTTACGTATTTTTGGTTGTTTGTGTTCCCCCATATTCCCACCCTTCACAAACTTGCTGCCCGTACTATTCCGTGTGTCTTTTTGGGATTTCCGTCTCAACACAAAGGGTACAAATGTCTTGACTTAACCACCGGCCGCATATATATCTCCCGCCATGTTATTTTTGATGAGTCTAATTATCCCTTTAAACAATCCAACTCCCAACCCGCACGTCATATGATTTTCTCGATGACTCCCCTTCTCCCTATGTCATATCTCAACTCACCCCCATATTATCCCACGGCCCCACACCAGACATGCCCCATTCCCATCCAGTTCCACATTCGGCTCCCTTATCTCCAATATCTCCCTTATCTCATCCACCCACTGCCTCAACACAACCTACTGCCAATGCCTCCCATATTCCAACCCCTCCAGATACTTCTACCAACCAACCCACTCACCCAATGACAACACGTAGCAAGGCCGCCAGCCCGCCATATTCCGACCGAAGTACGTATATAATCTCAACTCTCATGATACCACCTCTCTCTTATCATCCCCTTACCCAAATCACATGTCGATGCCCTCCGTGATCCAAATTGGAAATCGGCTATGATTTCCGAATTTACGGCTCTTATTAATAATAAGACGTGGGAGTTGGTTCCCCGTCCTTCTCATGCTAATGTTATTCGGTGCATGTGGTTATTTAAGCACAAATATAGGTCTGACGGAAGTCTTGAACGACACAAAGCCCGCTTGGTCGTCAACGGCAAGTCTCAACGTCCGGGCATTGATTGTGATGACACGTTCAGCCCGGTAGTTAAACCGGCTACCATCCGCACGGACCGCACTGTACTCAGCATTGCTCTTTCCAACAATTGGCCTCTTCATCAACTTGACGTCAACAACGCCTTCCTTCATGGGTTTCTTGATGAGACTGTTTACATGCACCAGCCGCCCGGGTTTAAGGACCCGTCACGGCCCTCAGATGTCTGCCTGCTTAAAAATCTTCCAACTGTTATAAATGTTGTGAACCACATATTCTTTGCCAAAAAATGAAAATGAAGGTCATTTTGAGATGGACGAAAAGAAAATTCGAAAGATAATTCAAGGACGGGGGAGTATTTCATACAGTTGTCATCTAATAAGAGAAAAAAAAAATCTGGACTTGTATTACTCTTACTCATATTGAAAATAGTTTTCAAATTGCAGACATCTACACAAAAGCTCTTGGAAATGCTTTGTTAGACATACATAAATGCTCATCTTGAGCGAGTTGAGGGGGGCAGGGGGCGGGGCATATCAATTCAAGAATAATCAACAATGACTAGATTGCATCTTCTTATTAACTTTTGGGCCGTTGTTAGCTCTTAAATGTAATATTTCGTTAACTTACTTAATACGAAGTACAAATATGTAAAATTAGATAGCAGATGTATTCAATAATTGCAGTTCTATTTCATTTTCTTCTCAATTCAATATATTAGCCGCGCCGGCATAGTCCATCGTTCCCCATTCGATAGACTTGCTCTGAAGCATGCTACTGAGCCACCACCAGTACCTCCCTCTTTTGTGCTATTAAAACAGATAACATTCCTGCAAATTCATTCACTCTTTTATCAAATTCAATTATATTACCACTGTGATATTTTTCGACACAGATAAGTATGAGATAATCAAAGCCATCTTCCACATCATTCAGAAAGCAGGACTCCCACTGATCGAGTTTCATTTCCTTATTTCTCATCCAATAATTTTCAATCATCGAAACAAAAGCGATCGCAATGCCATACCAGTTGTAAATTCGAAAATATTGTCTGTTCCGAAGTATGCCCCTTATAGCATTTTCAATCCAGCTCAAAATGAACATGCAAAACCACACCCCAATTTCGAACATAATGTCGGCTGGCGGCCATGTGTGTTTCTTTTTGTAGTTTCTAACACCGAGTCCTATCCAATAAGACAATCCAAGTGTATTAACCAGGATGTGAAGCCAGTTTACAAAAGCAATTACTGAACGTAAATCCCAAGCATCTATAACATCACTACCGAACAACATCACCGTCCAAAGAGAAAGCATTAATCCATGTCTATCAACATATTTTTTCTTAAAGAGTACCACTGATATCGCACAGATGATGACTAAAATCACAGCAAGTGAAAGTATCCTGTAATAGGGGATATAGTCTGAAAAAAAAAACATATAAAAACAATACTGAATTACTGAGTATAAAGAAATACTCGGAAAGATACAAGTATACAACACAGGCTGCTTAGCTAGAGATTTGAAATAAACATACTGTAATTATCCCACGGAGGAGGTGGGGAAGCTTTTGATAGAACTTTTTGCGCCATCACGTGTGTGCTGGCTAAGCTTAGAAAATACAACGATACTATGAAACGACTTTTGATAGTCATGGCTGCTTTTGTACCGTAGTTAGTTGAATTTCTGCCTGTCAATTTTGGATGGTGCTGCTCTGCTGCTTATAGGAGATAACTAATTAAATAGGAATTCAAAGGGGAAATGGAAATGTATAAGTGTATAACAGCATCAGTGGATCACCGAACAAGTGATTTCTATATAAAGTGGTCTACAAACTTTATCACTAATACTCCAGATATAAGTAATAAAGTAAGGCAACAAGAGAGGCACTCAGTCAAATTTTCGTCTTCTTCTCATTCAACACCGTCCTCATGTATTTATAGATAAAATGATAACTCTTTCAAAAGAAGTTACCAACATTTAACCGAAATGATTTTTCTGAAATGGTGCGGCATATCAAAAATTCAAAAGGACATGAACATTCGTTTTAAACCATTTTTAATTTCATATAATATTTTGTTCTTATCCACAAAAAAGCTGCGGCAACCAACATCCTTTAAAATGCAAAGTTTCAATACTCCGTATTTGAAAACAACACAAAGGAGCAAAGTAATATTATTATAATTATATGAGACCACTTGTGCACAAAAGTGTTCTCATAATATACTACGTATAATAATAATCATTATATTTAAATAACATCATTTTAATAAATCATTTATAAAATGATTAAGGACCATGTAATATAACAATTGAGCTTTAGTTCAATAAATCTCCAACAATCCTCCTCCATTTATTGAAAATAAACATGCTCAATCCTTGCCAAATAGACCACTTATCAAGACTTATGCATAATTGAAAGTGTCGTAACGATTGAACTTTCATTTAGTGTAATATTCTTTACAATATTTCAGATCATAATAGTAAACTAAGCTTTGAACTATATAACCACTTTGAAATACTGAAGATACTACACACACAATACAGATATTAACCACTTCGAATCATAATGAGAATATTAAAAACATTGCATGAAACTTAATACTCCCTCCGTCCCAAAAACAACTTCCCACTTTCCTTAAATGGATGTCCCAAAATTAACTTCACACTTCAATATTTTCCTTATTTGGCAAATTATCTACATCAAAAAAGTGATAAATAATCTCAAACAGTGTTTAAACAGTGCCAAACAGTGTTTAAACAGTGTCAAATAGTGTTTAAACAGTGCCAAATAGTGTTTAAACAGTGCAAAACAGTGCACTCTACAGCAAAGTCAAATTTATTTTCTAAAAGTGTGTGAAAATCAAACTGGGAGGTTGTTTTCGGGACGGAGGGAGTACAAAGTAGTAGATATATAATGCGCAATTTTTTAAATAGAAAAGGAAAAAGTGAAATAAAACCTTCCACTATTTCCAATGCACCACGTAAGTTCATGTATTAAAAAAGTATCATGTAAGTATGTTTACTATAAAAACAACGTCAATCAAATCACTTTAACCTGTAATACCATGTTAATAGTATACAAATAGTATTAGGTCAAAAATGGATATAAATATTTTTAACAAGTTATCTTAAAAATAAAAGCAGAAAAAATCAAAAATAAAGTGAAAGTGTAAAAAACATAAAATTAAGTTGTAATACCTCCATCCCAATTTGATGGTCTCAGTTCATATTTACTTGGTAAACACAAATCACTCTTAATCTCTTACTTTATATATCAATATTTTTTTATCAAATTTGTTTCTGGTTTTGCAACTTTGTAAAGCTTTTAATGTACTTTCGGAATATGTAATATTTTTTCTTAAAAATAAATTGAGTGCGGACATAGATCTTTTTGCATTATCGTCGGTCTAACATCGTAAACCTGCAACAAGACCATCGAATCGGGATGGAGGAAGTAGTAACTTGAAAAAAGATGCATAATATACATTTGTACATTTGATATAGTATTGGTCTCCGTAACATTCATATCTTTCCACTTTCCTTTTTTGGACGTAACATTTATATCTTCCCATTTCTAAATCTTCCCGTCATACCCTCAATAATTTAAAAAATAATACACTACTACACCTACTTTTTTAGATTTATCCTTCATTTCATCACATTATTTCACCATCTTCCCATCATACCCTCAATAATTCATATCTCATTTCACTATTCTTAATCTCACCCACTTTGGAAGTGGGTAGATATATGTGATATGGAGGGAGTACATAGTACTTTTTAATATAGAGGTCCTAAGTGATGAATTATAAATTGTAAAAGAAACTATTTGTCCCTTCCCTTTTTTATATAAAAAAATTGCTCATTATGTACCATTACACTCCGTAATAGTATGTAATTTCAAACAAGTTATTACTCAACTCTAGATATACTCCGTGTATCGCACGGGTATTTCGTCTAGTTTTAATATAATCACCATGGTATACTCCTATACGGTATACGGGTGTACCGAAGTTTCACTATTTTTCCATCAGGGTGCTATTCGGTATTTCAAGACAAGCCAAGCCCATCACACTTCAGAAATCGATCGATACTATGAGCCTATTAATAGTTGCCGAAGGCATATAATTGCGAAAGCCGGGATAGGAGAAGTGGAAATACCGAAAAGCCACGTGCTATGTATCAGGTATGGGGTTAACATGCTAAATTTGTGTTCGTGCACGGGGAAGTGGGGAACCACATGTCCAAATTCCACTTATGGGATTGAAATTCGTAAAAAGAAAAATTAAGGGGTGTTTGGATCTAATTTTCTGCTCCTTCAGAGAGCAGAAACAAAAGCTTGAATGTTTGGGTGAAATTGCAGAAGTACTTTTGGTGCTCTAGTTTACTTTCAGAATCAGTTTTTTTAGAAGTTAGAGGAGACCAACTTCTGAAAACTGATTCTGATTCTATTTCTGAGTTTTTTCCCGGAATAATGCTAATTAAATAATTAATTCCCGAAATACTGCCGGGTTAAGAATAATTCACGAAATACTGCTGGGGTTAACCGTGGTTGAGAAAAGCCGCCACTCCAAGTGGCGGCTCTTGTACTGCTTCACAAAAGCCGCCACTTGGAGTGGCGGCTCTTCTATTCCTTCACAATAGCCGCCACTCGGACTGGCGGCTCATTTATTCAGAAATTTATACCTCATCTTTAATCGACGAACGAAGCCTCTGCAACCAACGACGAACGAAGCCTCTGCAACCAATGACGAACGAAGCCTCTGCAACTCATCCAACTCCCTGCGCGACTCGTCCAAACGCGGCTCAAATCAACGGGAAAAGAGGCGCTGTGTTCCGGAATCGTTTGTGCTCCCTTCAACCGTCAACAACAGTTTGAATCGAGGTATTTCATCTTCTTTGCTAAACCTAGGTTCTTTCCTTAATTTTAGCTTGAAATTGTTCGAAATTGGTGTTGTATTTCTCGAAATTTCAGTTTTTTCTGGTTTATTAACACTGGTAACATTGATTGAGACACAAAATATACTTCTTTTGTTCCAATTTTTCTTGAAGTACATTGGGTGCATGATTGCTTTCGGATAACCTTTAAAAAATTTGTGGATGTCAATTTGTTGCTTCAATGGGAATCAGACTGGTTGTCAGGCGTAGACAATCCGAAGAAGATCGGGCGTAAACTTATCAGGATATTAAGACTTTATAATATTTGAATAAAAACATAGGGGTATAAAATGTTAATAGGATTTTAAAAAAACCACATGGATTTTTAGCTATTTATAGCTAAAAAACAATTCTAGAAAGGGAATTGTAGCTAACTGTAAGGTTAGTTAAACTTTACAGTTAGGTTGACAACCTGCATCTTATTATAGCTTTATAACAGTTTATAGCTGAAGTATATAATTAACAGTATATAAAAGTTAGCTGAAGTTAGCAATTCAGTTTAATTTATAATATTATAAAGTAGTTATTAGTAGCAGTTATGATAAACAGTATAAAAATGTTATAAATGAAGTTTTAAATTACTGTATGTTACTTACTTTATGTTCACTGTTCATACTTCATAGATAATATACATGTATGTTACTGTATAGACAACTGTATGTTAGCAGTTACTTATGAAGTAACTGTATGAAGTTTTACATTATTGTATGTTACTTACTTACTTTATGTTCACTGTATGTTCCATGTTCATACTTTTTTTGGAATGATTTTTTTCGTAGAATATGTCTCCAAACTTCCCCATTGTTTGTCATTGGGGAGGAAATATTATCGATGAGTCAAACGAAATTCATTATGAAGGGGGTAGTCGAAAGATAATTGTTGTTTCCCGTGGGGGTAGATGTGGCTGAATTAATGAATAAAATTTATACCGCCACATCCATCAATCGTATGAACAAGTTGATTTTGAAGGTTAAATATCCCATTCATGGTGGATCATACATGTTGATGCCTCTTGCTGACGAGGAAGCCGTTATGGGAATGTGGACTTTAATCGCGAATGTTGATATGCATACCATGGAGATATATGTAGAAGAAGCAACTGCGGTGCCCATACAACCTGACAACGCGTCATTATCTTGCCCATCCATAAGTGTTCCAGTTGTGATGAATATGGTTACACAGGAGAATGGAAGATACGTGAACAATGATGCAACGTTTCTGGATTCACAGTTCACTGACGACGATGCAGATGAAAATGTGAACCATGACACACTAACATATTCAGATGAAGATGGTAGTGATCTCGTAAGTGGCAATGCTCCATCCAGCCACTACACTAAAGTTTATGAGCTCCCTGCGGGATTTGATGAATCATGGAAGGGTTCTACAACTTCTAGTCGCTTCTCTGCAGATGGTGAATTCGAGGTTGGGCAAGAGTTTGATGATAAGAAACAACTGATCGTACTCTGTAAAGAGGAACCAATTTTTCTCAGTTGTAGAGTCTGAAAAAACACAAATGGGTGGCAGAGTGTAAGAGGAGAAAAGAATGTGGCTGCACTTGGCGGATCCGGGCTACTAAGAAACATGAGAAGCTAGAGATGTTCAAAGTTGTTCGTTATGCAGGTCCTCATATACCTACTTGTCTAGGTAACGTCGATAACACTGACCATGCTGGTATCACAGCTCAGTTCATAGCCCGTGAAATTATTGATCTTCTTCGTACCGATCCATCACTAAAAGTCCGCACTATTAGTCAGCTTATGAAGGAAAGGTACGGCTATATACCTTCGTACAAGCGAAGTTGGTTGGCTAAACAAAAAGCTATCGGTGAAATATTTGGAGATTGGGAGGCGTCGTATTCTGAATTGCCTCATTTCATGTTGGCATTACAACATTCCAATCCAGGGACAGTCGTGCATTGGTACCCACCTCTTTCAGGTACCAATGAGTTAGTAATATCATTATTAAA